GGAGGAGCAGGAAACTGAGCTCTGATCCGGCGGGCAACGCCAGCCAGGTCAACGTCGGAAAAGAAGCGGCTCCAACAGTTGTGGCGACGTGCAGCGGGTGAGCTCTCTGCACGGGAGGCCTCGGCCGTGCCGCCGCCGGAGTCACCGGCCTGAACGCGCAACGGGAAGCTGCAGCCCCAAACGCACCATGCGGCGGAACCTGGAGAGGCGAGAGCAGCTCAAGTCTTGAGCGAAAGCCCCGCTCCTGCCGCCGCTGCTGCGTCACGGGGCCGTGATGCGGACGAGACGGGAAGATCCAGCGGGAGCGGGGAAGAGAACACGAGTATGCCTGGCCACTGGGCTCCCGGCCGAGGATGAACGGGAACCGCTGCAGACGGCGCCGCGGGAGAAATGCAGGGAAAGGAGGGCGGCGGCGGCGGATAGCGAAGAGGCCCATGAATCACAAGAGCCAGGGGTGGCGGCGGCGCTGCGGGCAGCCTCGATGGCGGAGGCGGAGGCGGAGGCGGAGGCGGAGGCGGAGGCGGAGGCGGAGGAGGAGGAGGAGGAGGAGGAGGAGGAGGAGGAGGAGGAGGAGGAGGAGGAGGCGGAGTTTTTTTTACATCCTCAGCTTAAGAGCCCCTCAAAGGGGGCAAATAGTCTCGAGATCGGCAGTGGCCCCGACCCTCTTGTGATCAGGGTGGAGACCTTTGCCGAATCTCGACCAAACTTCATTTCGAGCGGGCGGACCGCCAAGGCATTGCTTGGCGAGCCGCCTCATCTGACCTCCAGTCGTGCACGCAGCACAGACCTGGCGGACGCTCGCGAAGCTACCGTCGCTGACATCTACCACGAGGCATCGATGCTCGAGTCCTCGCAGACTTGCAGAGGAGGAGGAGGAGGAGGAGGAGGAGGAGGAGGAGGATCGACCCAAAAATAGCGGTCGCCAATTCCTGGGAGACGGCTTGGCCGAGACGCGGGGGCCTCTGAGGCGGTGGCAGTCCCTCCTCCTCTCCCTCTCCCTCCTCTCCTCCCCTCCTCCTCTCCTACCTCCTCCCTCCTCCTCCTCCCTCCTCCTCCTCCCTCCTCCCTCCTTCCCTCCTCCCTCCTCCCTCCTTCTCTCCTCCTCCTCCTCCTCCCTCCTCCTCCCTCCTCCTCCTCCTCCTCCTCCTCCTCCTCCTCCTCCTCCTCCTCCACACTGCCAGAACTTCCCGACCCAACTCCACTCGTGCGGTGGCCTCGGATCCTTGAGCGAGCGGGGGGGGGGGGCTCGACACGGGCACCCCCTCAAGATCGGTCCGAGGCCATCTCTCCATGATCTGCGCTGCCAGCTTCGTGGCAGCACGGGCAACGGAGCATACACAATCAATCCCAACCGTCTCGTTGGCAGACAGCCTGGGGTGTAGGAGAGCGCCTTCTTTAGCTGCGGCATCCGCGGCGTTGTTTCCTATGGTGTGCAACCGCTCAGCCATCGGGAGAGAATCAGCATCTTCCTGGTAGGCCCGAACCTTGGACACGTCCAGAAGAAAGCCCGGGGAACAACAACATCCACCTGCATCACAAGCCCGCAGCAAGGCCGATTCGGACGCAAGCGGTCCCGAGCGCTTTTGGACAACCCGTTGACCACAACTTGGCAGTCGGAGTGGAACGAAGCATCCGCCGAGAGGGGCGAAGCAGCACTCGCAGGAGCAGCGAATTCTCAGCCAGAACGCTCGTCTGCGGGTAAAAGCCTCCGAGTGGTCCGAACATCATAGCAAGTACGCGGCCCTGTTGGCTGGGCCAAACCACTCCCCAGCCCGACCGAGAGAGGCCTTCGACCGTGGATCTGCAGCAGGAGCCGCCGCCATATAAACGCCCCGAAGGCTCCCTCACCCCTGGGTCTGGCGGAGGGATACCTTCCTCGGCGAACGCCTGAGGGAAATACTGAAACTGAACGGCACGCATGGCTTCATCCTGGGACAACGGGGGAGGGACGTCTCTGGCAGGGTGCTGAGAAAGGCCTGTCCCACACACAAAAGCTCAAAACCAGGGGAAAGGCCATCTAGCTCCGACCTCACCCTGGCCAACAAATCAGCTCCGACAGTGGCAGTCCTCGCTTCCTCACGCACAAGACAATGCCACAACCTATGGAGCACCGTGTCTCCATGCTGGCCGCAAATAGGACACAGGTCTTCAATGAGATACCCTTTCGAGACGGCCTTGCCGAGAGGCAATAACGCCCTACAAACAACAGCGCGGACCGCCCCCCTCTGCTGTTCCGACAGCTTTTTGGAGGCGAGGGCCCGAGAAACAACATCAAAACGAAGCCGCTGGCCGCTACTGTACTTGGATCCTGCTTCAATCTCAAGTCATTTCAAGACCGTGGCCCTCAAGAAACGCTCCACGAGGGCGGGGGATGTGATGAGGAGGGGGATGATCGTACCATCCTCGTCGGCCATCGTGAAGGGGTCGGTCATACTCCAGCTGATTCTTTGCAGCGGTAAGTACATGGCCCCCACTGGGCCTCGGACAGACCTCCATGACTTACGGGGGGGGGCGCCGCGTCGCAGTCCAGGCTTGACGACTTTGTTCCCAAGAAAGGGCCCACGGTGTCGCACGGGGATTGGAGCAGCCAAAGTTCCTTGCAGTATCTCGTGATAGGGGCCACACTTCCAAACCAAGCAAGGTCGTTTTCGATGCGGGCTAAAATCGGAAGGCTCCGAGCTCCACTGGATGGTTTCCTGGTCGAGGCACACAATCTTCTCACGTTGGCCAGTTCCGCGTCTATCATACCGTGGACCTCCGAGCTGTACTGCAGGCCCGCCAAAGGACCATACATAAAGACCTTAGCCGCTCGACGGCCAAGGACAGGCCGTTGCTTCGCAATACGTCGAATCCTGTGGACAGCCGCTGAACGCCTAGCCTTCGCCTTAGCTGCACGGCCGCGGACCCTACGAGGCAGGCCAGCAGGCACATCGATGCCACGGTTAACCGTAGTTTTCCCCCTAAGCCCCACGAGGGGCCCGAACTCGCCCTGGAAGCGGGAGGAGACCAACCTGGAAGACGAAACAAAAGCAACCTTGTCCATAGAAATCCGCCGGCCCCCTTGTGGGGCCACCAGGCTGTAGGAGCGGGGTTCGCAGCCTCCTGTACCAGTTGTAGCTTGTAGTTTCCAGTGTTACAGTTCTGCTTCTTGCTGGTTGCGGAAACTAGTTGATTGTTCTCCTTCTTGCTGGTTACTGTAACTAGTTGATTGACCGCGCGAGGGGGGGGAGGCCCAAACCGGCTTTTTAGCACCCCCTGGGCGCGTAGTAATTTTCACCGTTGCCCTGTCCCTACCCACTGCGCGCCCCCTGAGATGGAACCGCGCCCTGTACACCCTGCCCTCCCGTTCGCCCTCCACCATCCTCCACATTTAGCCTATGTCCTCCTTACATTCTTCTTCCTCCGCCCTACGGCCTCTCCTCCTCTTCCTCCTCCACCCTACCCCCTTTCCTCCTCTTCCTCCTCCACCCTCCCCCGGGTCTTCCTTTTCCTCCTCCACCCCTCCTTTTCCTCCTGTTCTTCTTCCACCCTTCTCCCAGTCCTAGTCTTGGGAAAGAAGGGACCGGGGGAAGGGATGACATGGGGAGAAAGGGGCTGCCCCCTGGCTGTCGCGCCAGGGGTGGCTCCATGTCGCGCCAGGGAACTTCCTGTGGCTCTTTTTCCTTCTCCGTCCTCCTCCACCCTCGTCCCGGTCCTTCTCTTCCTCCTCCATCCTCCTCCTCCTTCCTCCTCCTCATCCTCCTCCACCCTCCTCCTGTGTCCACCGCCTCCCTTTGTCCTCCTCCGCCGCCCCCCCCGCCGCCACTCGCCCTCCTTCTCACTCGCCAACGCGCGCACACACACGACCACACATACACACACGCAAGCACACACACACACAGTCACACACACACACACGTACATGTTTTTCCCTCGGCGGCATCGTGGCGACACAAACGCGTCAGACAGTTTTCATGTTATTTATCACGCACATACACAAACACACGCACGCACACGCACGCACACACACACGCAAACGCACGCGAATAGGCGGAGGAGGACGAGTGGGTCGGCCACACAAACTCTTGGAATCTCCAGTGGCTCGTTTGGTCAGTCAGGTTTCATTGTGCTTCTTGCTTGTCTCCGTTGTCATCCATCCATTGCCATTTGTGCTCAAACCTGCCTCAACCATTGCGGCTTTCTTTCCAATGTAGCAGATTCACAGAGCCGCGTGGAGCGGCCGAGCATGATGGATGCACGGCCCACAGGGCCACGAGAGTGACAGCTTCCCCATCTGGATCACATCATGTGCCCACCGTGCTGGTAAGCGCCGCCGGGGTATGATTCCAAATGACTGCCGTGACCAGATCGACAAACATTTCATACAGGAGACATTCGAGGATGCAGAACTGGCAGACTTGGAAGAGTACGGCGCCTCAATGTTTCCAGACCGTCATGCATCTTACAGCCAGATATGTGGAGTAGCACTTCTGCGTTACAGTGGCAAATATACAGGAGCACTCAGCGAGTCAGGAAAGGAAGCCCGAGCAATTTCAAATTGGAGTGGCGGCAATCGCCCATTCATGAGGTATTTCGAAGTAGTTGAAGCTGGCCGTCTCGAGCAGGGCATCGACATGATCCACGCTGGCTTCGGCATTGAATCTCCAAAACATTTATGGTTTGAGTTAACGAATGAGTGCCGAGACCGCCTGCTCGAAGGCGCTCTGCTGGGCGGCCGGGGTCGCGTTCGTGAGTTGTTGCAGCGCTGGGCCAGCGATGGACTGTTTGAGGCCGCCTTTTTGGATTCCTGCACTGTCTTGCAGCTGCCGTTTCCAGTGTCAATCTTGGTGGTAGCACAATGTTGGTACGTATTGGCTCTCGATTGTCGATTTCGTTGCGTACGGTCCGCGATCATTTACAATCTATGGCATGGGTGTCGCCATAACGCTATCGATGCAGACCCTGAAGTAGCAGACTCACAAGAGTTTCCTCCAGAACAGGACCCCTGCGCCGTCAGCAAGGACATCGCCGCCAGCATGACTGACCAGGGCTTATTCAGCAAAGACATGTTCATGACGTTATCATCGCATCTCAGGGCATGGTCATCAGCGATATTGGCCGCCCACTGTAATCAACAAGATGTGGTGCAAGATCAATTGCAAGACTTCGTGTCCTGGCTGGACCGCTGCGCAGCGTCTTTGGTTCCAGAAGCATTTGCCAAGTGGAGTTGGTCGAGCCGCCCCGGGCGCGGTGGCCATTATAATCGTGTGCTCGACCGCCGCGGCGGCTTCAACCCGCACTTCCTCGTGCAGTGCTTGATCTTCTCATTCCACGCCCGGGGCACAGACAACAGCGGCGGCGCCAACACGTTCAGATCTACGATCATGCAGGCGTTGCGCATTCTCCCAATCGCATTGCAAGATGCAGCAGAGCAGATCATGGCAGATAATTTGCTTCCCAGCGCGGCGACGTTGAGCAGGTCGCGGCTTTACCTCGACGTCGTGTGGATGCTCGTGCACCGGGACAAGCACAGGAGCCTCATCGCGGACGATGCCGCCATCTACTCCATGATGGACTCGTCGCCCCAGGGCGGCCGAGATTGGTTCACTGGGTGAATTTTCGGGCGGGGATTCTTCTGGGGCGTCCAGTGGGGTTTCGGAGTCATCGTCGAAACGCACGGGCAACATTGATTTTTTAAAAAAGCATAACCCTCAAACGATATGAAACATGGCGAGGAGGAGGATAATAACGGGTCCAGGGGAGGGCGGTCAGGACGATAAGGCGGAGATGGAGGAGGAGGAAGAAGTGAGAGTCCTTGGCTTCCGGCTTCCGTTTCAGGTTTATCCACGAGTACACTGTCATTAGCGGCTCCGACCTCGACAGGGCGGCGAGGATGGCGGATAGGCTCGCCCGTTTCCAACACGAGCCGGTGGACGAGAACACTTCTATGACAATGCAGGAGGTTCAGCGCAATCTTGGACAATGTATGCAGAAACACAAGTTTCCTCCCGTTGGTATCGGGTCCCGCCATGGCAGTGCCGCGCACAAACTTCATGCTTTGCTGCACGGCGTTCGACTCGAGTGCGACTCATGGCGGATCGTCAGCAATCTACTCGGCAAGTTCTTCGCGGTGGTCACCGACCAGGGAGTTGAGTCGCACCTTTCCTCGGCTTCGTGCGAGGCCAGCGACATGTTTCCTCATTGGCACCCTACGCGCCCAACGGCTGGGGATGACGGCCACGGCGACGACGCCGACATGGAGGCCGCGGACGGGCACCTCCACAACGTCATGGAAGACATGCAGACCCAGCTGCACATGCGGCAAGCATTGCACATACCAGGCTCGTTCCATGCAGTCGAAAATACTCAGACGCGCGTACTTCAACATCTACCGTCTTGGCCCGAGGTGAAGAAGTCTGTGGAAGCTTTCTGCGTGGTGTTTCATTACAGCTTCTCGAGGGATAGATTCGTTGAAACTTGCTTGGTTGGAGACAACGCTGTTTGGCGACCATTCTTCCGCAGTGGGCCTCCGCTCTTCGAAGGAGGAAGGGTCTGGGGTGCGGTCGTTGAGATTACAGAGTGGCTGCTTACCAGGCAGTGTCCCCTCACGTTCTGGAACGAAGATCGCGCGCAATTCAGAGATGGCCCTGGCAGAGGCGGCGAGCATGGACAAGCGCCACAACATGCAAACTGGAACGACGAGCATGCTGGGCAAGTAGCGAAGGTAACGGCAGCAAATGCAAGTCCCTTCTTCTGGGCGTACATCAATTTGATATCAGTCATAGCATCAGCCCTCGGATGGCTTGAGGCGTGGTCTCAGGGGTGTCGGTGCCACCCGAGAGCTTTCTGCAGGCAGCACGACCTTGTCCACCTTAAGAAGTCTTGCCCCATGAGGGGTCGTCGTATACCTGAGATGGCTTGCGGGGCATTCCATGAGTTGATGCGCGAAGCATTGGATTTGAAGTACACTGAACTCTTGCGCCGCCTGGTCAACGTTGATGCCAATGACTCGAGCAAGATATTCAGGGAGTTTGCCGCTGCGAAGGCCTTCATCATTGCAGAGATGCAGGTGCGGCTCGACCCCGTCGTGCAGCTGCCCCTGAAATGTCTGTGCGTGGGCCACTTTGACCACATGTGCATGAGGACGCACCTCGCTATCTGCTTGGTTTTGTACGAGAACTTGACAGCGCAGGACGTCAAACACCAGATGACGGAGCGGATGTTCGGCCATGGTTCCATCATTCGGGGGCAAATATTTCAGTTCCTGCGGGGCGATACCGACATCGCGGATTTGCCCGAGTTGATGGCTATACGCAGAAAGGCGATGTTCGCCTCCAATTTGGAACAGAGCATCGAGCGTCGTCACGCCCAACTGCACTTGGCGATCCGACTGTCCAGTCACCATTCTGAAGCATACGCCAGTCTCGGCTTGCGCCGGGACGAGATCGTGGAGATGATGACTCATAATCCAAAATTGGCAATCCGTCTATCCGTTCTAATCGGCCAGGCTGGTACCATGAGAGACGCACTGAAGGCCTTGGGATTGCAGTATCATCCATCACTGGAGCAATGGGCTAATGAACGTGGTGACCTGGACACCCGCATACCTCAGAAGTGGACGAGTCGAGTGATTTATCGGGGTGACTTGCAGACCCAGTTTGCGGATTTGCCAGACGTGTGCGCAGCGCCTCCTGATGATGGAGTTCCTCCAGTACCTCCAGACATGTTCCATGTCGCCGCTGCCGCAGGACCACCGCCCTCGACTACAAGCGGCGGCGGCGGCAGCTCCGGCGGGCACGCGGGCGCTAGCAGCAGCAGTGGCGGCGGCAGCGGTTCTCAGGCTTAGAAGTTGAGCCTTCGCTCCCCGCTCCCTTCCAGGCCCACGTCCAAAACGGTTCCTGGCTCGTGCTCCCTACAGCTTGAGGGCCCCCTAGGAATGACATGGCATGGGCGGGTGGCGGGCGGGCGGGCTGGCGGTGGGCATGGGCGGGCGTGAGCGGAGCGGGCTGAGGGCGCTAGAGGCGGTCCAGAAGCAGGAGAGTGGAGGCCTCAGCGAGGCTAAAGCTACTTGGTAGTACTTGTCGAAACAGGTTTGAGCCATCCAGTCGGGGCCTTGGGGACATGGCCAATCTCCTCTACTGATTTCAAATCGTTTTGAATAGGAAAGCGTCCAAAACATCCTCTTTCTCCTCACTCCGTCCTACCTCCTCCTCCATTCTCCATTCCTCCTCCTTCCCCCATCCTCTTCTACTTGTACTCTACTCCTGACTTGTTGACGATCTGGACATCTATACCCACTGTTATCCTACTTATCGTTCCTCCAGGACTCCAGGGTGGGCTACCTTGATTAGCCGCACCGCATCGCTTGACTCTTAACGGGTGTTTCTTATACGTCTGGTTTGGAGTCGACGCTGGCAGATGCATCCAAAACGCTACGCCAGGGGGGAGTAGCTAGTGCTCACACGAGCGAGCAGTTTTCAGCGAACCTTCAGGTTCGGCGGCTGGCGCTTCGGGGCTGCCGCATTGCGCACCTAGTGGCGCTGCTGCCAGCTCGGGGGCCAGCAGCGGCATCGGCGCTGGCGGCGGCGGGCCTGGGCCCCCAGGGCCCCCGCACCTAAATCTGAGCAAGAAGGTCAATGGTGAGCCGGACATATTTGTGACGATCATACGTGGACTCAAACTTAAGCATTTTTTACAAACATGGGAAACAGATGCTATCTACTCTATGAAATTGAAATGTCCTCTTCCGACACTTGAAGAGACTCTAAGACCATTACTGCCCTGCTCTGTAGAATTGTTCCAAGAGCTGGCGAGATGTGACTTAGATTGGAACGTAATGGGTCGCCATGTGATTTTGCCTTATGTGACCTTCGAGCCCGACGTGAATTCTTCGACAGCGGATGTGGCGCCTGCTAAGGGCAAGGCAAACAGCAAGATCAATCCAGCTCCACCCAGGAACTATCTTCCTAGAAGCGAAGCTCCAGAGTTGGCCCTCAGCCTTGGGTTGGTTTGCTACGAGTTGCCCTCCTTGCACTCCTCATTCCACATTGTGTGTAATGAAAGTCTCTCGTGGCTTTCTCACCCTAGGCTGTTGGGCCAATGCGAGTCCTCGCCTCGCATTGACCTGAACCCTTCAGGCAATTTACATTCTTCCGGATCGTCAGTGAGTCCCTTGGCAAGCTCAGCCGTGCTTATATTGATGGTAAAAAACGCTTAAAGGCAACAGATATCTCCATCGATGTCATGCAGGTGAGCCACACTATCAAGTCTGCGAAGACCGTACTTGTCTGCGAGGATGACAAAGAGAGAAATGATAAAGCATTCTCGGGGCACATCGCTGCCCGAGACTTGTTGCTCGAGTGTGTCGAAACAGTGCGTCGTTGGGTGGTGGAGCCCCAGCCTCATTTTGCATTGCCATGCTTAGAACTTCCAGAGCTAGACCCTTTGGAATTATCACGCACGCTTCAAGCTCTGTATTCGGTTGGCGCTCTTGAGTCCGACATTGGCGGGCCATCCTTTACATTGAGTCATGATGCTGGCCTTGTTCATTCGCGTGTGCTCGCAGCTCTGGAGAGTAAGAGCGTGGTCCAATGCACCTCGACAACTTCAACGACGTCGAGTTGGAAACTGACGGCGGAAGCAGAGTCATTGGTGAAACCGTGCTTCCACCTTACTTCGTATCAGAACGTTGCGGAGCCACGCCCGGACATCCCCGTCACAGACATGACGCAGTTGGAGCTTCTCTTGCATTTGGAGCGCCATGGGTGGGCTCGCGGAGTGTGGCTTGACGCTGGCTCACCTGCTGCAGTCGATGTGTTGACGGGCTCTCCGAAGAAATGGTGGGTCAAGCCAGGCGCAATTACTGTGGGGCGGCAGTACTTGCTGGCGTTGGCTCGTCTAGCAGACGTGCGGCCAGAGTTCACCACAGTGGAGCACCTCAAGCCAGAGTCTTATTACAAGCGTTTGTTCAAACCGCCCAAGGCCTTGGTCATGGAGGGCGATGTCGGCGTCGTCGGCGTGAACACCAGCGACCCCCGCTCCAAGCCGACAAAGAAGAACGCTCACACAGGGCGCGGCGGTGGCCGCGGCAGCGGCGGCAAGGGAGTCAAACAGGATGAAGCACATGGGCCTGGCGAAGTCGTCCTCCCCGTTTCGGCCGGCAAGCGCAAAGGCAGGAAGGGACATGCACGTAACTACCGTTGGGGTTGTGGATATCTCACCTTCAAGCCCAAGGTCAGCTCATGGCAGGCGACTTGTCCTCGGTGTGGCTCCCACGCTGCCAGGAATCCAGGCACGAGGTGCACTAAGACATTGAAGTTCAATGATGAGGTCTCGGACAACCAGGTCCAAATGCGTTTGCAGCATTGGTTGAACTCGTGCTTCAAGTTCAAGACCCGAAAAAAGCACATGCAGTACCTGGCACCGTGGACGGATGTGCCATCGCGTTCCCAGTTGAAAGAAAACAAAATCGATTCTGACTACGAGACGGACGTGGAGCCACCAGTGCATGCCGATGGGGCACCAGAGCCCAAGGGCGCCAAGAAGCTGAAACGTAAGCCCGCCGCTGCTGCACCACCG